TTGGCGTCCTTTTACCTGCTTGGCTTTATTTCTTGCTGTATGAGACGTTGATTCTGTGTGAAGTGGAGGTTGGGGTACACCCAAGGAGCTGGGAATTACTGCTGAATGGGTGGTGGTTGGCTCTCTCTCTTTCACACTACTTCAGTCAGTCAATCGTTGCCGTTTTGTGCAAACTTTAGTAAGTTTGAGGTGCAATTTTGCATATGCTAATGTTATATATACACCATATGTTGGCGTGGTTCAGATAGGAAGCTGGTTGCATAGAACACTGTACAGCTAAGTTTTCTTACCTCTGTGTCTCTGAGGAAAGAGGATGCATGAACACAACCTTCCAAGCAAGACCAAAAGAGTTAGCAGCGTGTAAAATGGTTTCCGTTCACAGGGGCTGGGGAAGGAGAGACAGATCAGTGGTCTCTCTCGCCGGCCCCTGCTTGGTCTCTGTCCTGGATGTGTGAGAGGGGGCCAGGTCTCCCTGATGGCCGGCCGACTGCGTTTCTTCCTGGATGTGCCCAAGTTTTGCCTCCCGCTTTTGTCTAGCACAGCAGAGCAGTGGGACTGTGGCAGATGGTGGAGACACCTCTCCGGCGTTTCCCATGGTTTCTGTACCACATGCGCAGCAAAGACCTGCTCTCCGTTCCATTCAGCGCTGAAGTGCGGTGGGCTGCTGGAGGAAGGCTGAGGCACAGTCTTCCTCCTGGGCTTCCCACCAGGGGTTCACATCGGACAGCCAGAAAGCAAAATGCCTTGCTCCCCACTCAGCAGCAGCAGGTTGGGCAGACCACGCTGTTGGCTCTTCGGCAGCCCACTCTCGCCGGGATTAAAGGCCGCCTTGCCTGGGGTGACCAAGTGGCCGGCTGGAGAGGGGCTGCAACAGGGTTGTGGGATGGGGCTTTCCCCACCTCGGCTGGCGTGTGCAGTGCTGAGACACAAGTGGGTATCAGTAATAAAAATACACGCCCATGTTACTCTTCCCTTTTGAAAAAATCCTGCATGCTATAAAGGACGGAGGGATTTCCTCCCCTAACACAGAGACAACTGAACTCGCACGGAAGGCTTTGCCTCTGTAACGCCATAGCTCCCTTCTCCGTCTCTGGGTTGTTCTTAGATGTCCCGTGACTGATCCTCGCTTTGCAGTGCTTTCCTTTCCTCCGCGGCTGACAGCACCTTGTGTGTGGGCCGGCCATGCTTCCTCCGTGGCAGGAATGACCAGCAGATTCTGGGCGCTCCTGAACTGAGTCGATGAGTTTGGCGGCAGGGCTGTTTGCAAGCCTCGGCTGAGCACGTGGCCCGGCGCAGTCGCAGGTGCGAGGTCTGTGCTGGCATCTGCCCACCTGCTGTGGCATGTGCCACCAAAGAGGTGCTCGCGTGCGCCTCGTCTCCTCCCTCCCCACCCCTTTTTAATTTCCCCAGGCTTTTGAGCCACAGTTTTAATCCTGCCGACTGTTTTATGCTGTTTTTGTGATTTGTTTTACTGGCTTTTAGCCACCTTATATTTTCTCTATTTCCATTTTATTGTTTTCTTTTTTAATGACTGCTCATGGAATGTAATTGAAGCACGGTATAAAAATAGCTATAATGAATAAAAATAGGTGAGGGAAGGAAAGCAAGCAATTCATGTATGGGAACTTTACAGTTTCAACCTTGTATTTTTTAATTGTATTTCATCCTTCCTTTTTTTCCCTCAAGGTGCCCAAGGCAGCTTACATGGCCCTCCTCTCCATTTTGTCCTCATAAGAGCCCTGCGAGGTGGGTTAGGCTGAGAATGGTTACAGGCCTGAGGCCACTCAGTGATGTGGTAGAGGAAGGGAAGTCCCACCTGAGCTGATGGAGGGGGGCAGTCTTTCCCCCTCTCCCCTCCCTTGCAGCCAGTTGGAAAGACGGTCAGCAGATGCGCACATTTAGCCCAGTGCAGCCGCCCCCAGCCTGGAGCTGTCCAGGCGAGCACACATTTCCACATGTACAGATAATGCATCATCTGTATTATGTTTCATGTTATTTATGTAAGCCGTCCCGAGGCAATGCGATGGGACGGCATACAAATGCTCTAAATGAAATAAAATAAAATAAATTTCCTCAGGGGAGATGGAGGCATCGGACAATCCATTGTGCCCACTGGCAGTGGGTGTTGCCCGTTGGGCCGCAGGAGCACCTGCTTCCCCCGGCCGCATGCAGTAATTATTAGTAGTAAAAACTTCCGGTCCCCATTTATGGCACAGCACAGTATTCGAGTGAGTCGCTGTGAAATAGCCTGAGGACTTTGTCTCCCGCCCCCCCCCCATGCGCTCAGGGGACGGTCTTGTTCAGAGCCACTGTAGCGGTGGCTCATCTTTGACAAGAAGTGGAAGGCGACGGCCATCGGGGGGCAGCCTCATCCCGTTCCTTGTCGAAGATGAGTCTTGACCCCAGCCAAGGCCTTGCTGGTTGCTTCGTTCGGTCTTGCTTGTCGGCAGAGCCTTGAGCGACCTTGCGGTGGAATCACCAGCAAAGCTGCCGCGTGGAAAGTTAGGCTCTTTTTAGAGATGCAAAAGCTCCTGGAGAGGAGGGACCTTCCAAGTGGATAGTCAGAAAGAGCAACTAAGCAGGTCCTGTGGTGGATGTTACAGTTGAGACAGGAAATCTCTATCCAGGAAGGATCAGAATAAGTTGTCGTAATTATTTATCAAAATATTTATAAACAGGCTTTTAGCCAGAAAGCTCTCAAGGTAGTATACAAAAGAGATGTAGAAATAATTTAATGAATAACAAGTTTAAAAGCAGAGTCCTGAAAATGTCCAAAGGAATAAAACCAGGCATCATTCCATGAAAAGCAACATCTGGAACAGAACAGAAATACCTTTGTGGGGTAACCCGAAAGTACATTATGAAAAGGCGGACCTACTCTCTCGAGGAAGTCAGTTGGTGTGCGGCGAAAGCACTGGGCCGGCTTGGTGTCCTTACCAGCCTGTGTGAAGAGGGAGAAACATTTAGCCACAACCAGCCACCTAAAGGTTTGGAGGGGCCAGGGGAGCACAGCATCAGGTTTCAGCTGCAGTCCTAGCCCAGGGTTCATCCAGCATTCCACCCGTGGGCCAAATTCCTCCCAGTTGGGAGGCGAATGGGCAGCCCCATGGGATGGCTTCCTTAGCCACTGCATTGCACTGCTGGCTATAAATTAACCTGCATTTTATGACACCCTCCCCAGTTCTTTGCACGTGTAATGCTGTCAGTTCAGAGTTGTGCATCCTGTCTTCTTTCCAGTCTAAATGTAGAACTTGACATTTATCTCTGCTGAAGTCAATTTTGCTAGTTTTGACCTAGCTCTCTATCCCGTCCAGCTTATCTTGAATCCGCTTCCAAGGTGTTCGCTCCCCCACCCAGTTTGGTGTGATCGGTAAGCAGCACACGCTTCCATTTCCCCTATGTGTCCACTTTGCATCTGAGCTCATCAGATAGTTTATGTCGCCGTTCTGGTCAAACATTAAGACTTTTTCTTAATGTGTCACAGGCTTGCTAGACAAAGTACAACACAATTAAAGACATTATAGAAATAACTTTCTAACAATTGAATGTTGCATTGCAAACAAGATGGGAGGTTAAGTGATGCCATATGCTGCAACCTGAATCGGTGCACTCCAGGACACGGGCGGAGGGCACGTGGCCCGGGCCTTGTCTCCAGTCCTCTGCCACAGGAAAGGAACTTTCCTCCCTTGCCACGCTGCTCACTGTTTTCCAAGCATTTCCATGGGAAGGCAGTCCACAGGGCATCGAGGCTGCTGAGCGTGCGGTGTCGGTTTTCCAGGCTCATCTGCATGGCAGACTGACACAGATGCTCTGGAGCCCACCGAGTCGCCTCCTTGTTGCTCGGAGTCAGCTGAAGTCAGGATGTCGCAACCTTGCCAGGATGTGATTCAGCATCCTGTTTTTGAGCCTCCAGCTCCCTGCTGACTTCAGCTGCAAGACAATCAGTCCTTGTGGCCCCTGGTGTGTGGCTAACCTCTCCGGCATGGCACTTGCTTTCTGTGAGAAGCCCTGTAGCCCCCTGAAACAAACGCCTCAAGTCTGTGTTCGTTCGCCCTTGAGTCAGAGCCCTGTGATGCCAGACTGTAATCATGACTTAAATTGTGAACCCCGCACCACACAACCCTGGTTTTACATAGCACATTCCATTTCCTAGTGTCAGGATTCGAAATGGAGGCTGACATTTGCCGGGACTGCTCCAGAATCAGTTTAATGCCAGTGGTGTGGCTGAACACCGCAAAGCCGGAGGTGCTGCTGGCTGTTGCCTCTTGCACCTTCTCTGTTCTGTACTATGGATTCCCCAGCCCTCCCTTTTCTCAGCTGGAGCCTTGTGCCCTGCAGCTCTGGCAGGCCTGGCCCCTGTGAGGAAGCATGGGCACCTGCAGGCAGCAGGAACGATTAAAAAGCCATGGAAAGTGAAGCCAGTGGGTGAGGGTCGTAAGGACAGGTTTGTCCATTTTTTTAAAAGACCTTTCCACCTGGAAGCGTTTTTGGGGAGTGATGGTTGTACCAATAATTCTGCTTACCTGACCTCGCTGGGGTGTTTGTCCTGTTCGCCTCAAGACGGAATCCCCTGCAGGTAGAGGAAAGTCCATTTTCACACCGTGCGTAATTTGGCCTCCATAATAGAAGGCCTTGGTCACTGGCTTAGATGACTTTCACAGGCACGTTCAGGAAGGGGGTGGTATTGGTGGCAAGTGGCTGAAATGACCGTCCATGTTCAGAGACGGTGCGCCTCCAAAGATCCATTGCTGCAAAGAGGGGATGACATTAAAGGGGGGGTGTTCCTTTATGCCATGTTCATGAAGGTATTTGGATGTTGGACCACATGAACCTTTGGTCTGATTTTGCAGGACTCCTTGTATTCTGCAGCTTCGGGAAGCAGCGGTGCCGGGGTGGGCCTCGCGAGGGGGCTACAGACCCCTGCAAGGTGCCGTTCTCTCACCGTCTTGCCCTTTCTTATCAGTATATTTTATTTCCACGGAGGGAGGGATGGTGTTCTGCTATTGGACACCCCCACCAAAGAGGACCTGGTGTGGGTAGCTACCCACCTGGCCTCTGAAGGAGGTTGCATCTAAAGAGGAGGACTGGATGAAGAGCTTGGAAGATGGGCTGGCTGATGGAGGAGGAGGTAGCCCTTGAGATGCCCTGCTTCCAGGCCTCACGATCAAAAGCAGGATTTTTTGTTGTGTGCTAGTGTGTGTGTGTGTGTGTGTGTGTGTGTGTGTTTTGAATAATCTAAGTAACTGTAAATACTAAGCACCGTTTTGAACATGCATATGGATGTACTGGTGCGCGATCTGCCCGGAGCGCTCGTTCTCCCGTGCTGGTTCCGTTTGTTTTCAGCAAGGCGTCTCCCCAGAAGACATTCCTGTGGATTGTGCCCACGCTGTTTAAGGCTGTGCGCTTGCTTGCATTCAAATGGCCATCCTTGAAAATAACTCCTTTGTGTCTGTACCTAGTATGCTGCATGATGGGGGAGGAAATATTAAACCCAGCTCCCCCAAAGGTAGGTCTGCAATCGAGCATCGCCGCCGCCTCCTTCCCGGTATGGAATCTTCACTTGTGGTGCATCTTGTGGCTGAGTTTCCTGACCAAAAAGCCGTGCAGATTGTAATCGTGATGAAGCAAATCCCAAGGTCACCCAGGCAGGCTTGGCAGGCATCGTTTGCAGTTCGTTCCTGCTGGGAAATCTGCCTTTGTGGGCTCCCTGATTGATTTCCTCTCTCCCCCCTCCCCCCTCCTTGTCCTGAAAGAGCTTTTGCATCTGGCACTGTGAATAGCCTGCAGTCTTCGAAAATGCTGTTTGGAATTCTTGGGCAGCAAATGCGGCCTACGCCTTCTCAGCCAAACAATACCCGCTCAGAAGGTACTTTTATTGACTGAGTGCTGCAGACATGTGGAGTAAGCCTTGCCAGTCGCCCTGGCTCATGGCCTGCCCTTTCAACTGAAATGCATTGGAGGTTACTTTGGGGCCTGATTGGATGCTGCCTCCAGAAAGGGGACTGCCTGGCCAAACTATCGACGAGCTCCACTCCATAACCGTTGGAGCTGCTTGCTTCAAGCATCCCTGAAGGGGCACCTGCAGTACTGGGTCTTTGCACAGGAATTTAACAACAAACTAACTGCCACTGGCCAGACCACAGCCCTCTGTTGAGCATCATGGTGGCCTATCCAGGAACGGAGCTGTGCACACTTGAAGATGCTTGTGAGAACTTTTCCTCTAGCAACTGTACTTCTGGATGTTCTGTTCCTTTCAAAGAGGATGTGCCGGGATTTCTCTTTGGAACAGTCTGCTTAGGCAAGGCACATTCTACTCTAAAACGTGGCCTAGGAATAATTTTAGGGTAGAGTTTAGATAAATTATGAAGCTTAGAGCAAGTAAATTATGACTTTGGGGGGGTATAATTAATGTTAAGTTAAAGTTTAAAGTTTTTGAACAGTGGCAGCGTCACAGTCTTCAGAGCACAAAAATGATCAAAAATCCACCGCTTGTTAAATACTGTAGTTTTCTGTGAGATCAGACCAAAGGTCCACTCTAGTCCATCACATTATTTCTGCCAGTGGTCAGCCCAGTGCCTCTGGAGGATCTCATGTGCATGTGCAGAGTGTTAGGGCAGCAGTCCTTCCCTGCTCATTTCTGTCACATGACCAGCAGTCATGTGCAGCCTTTTCACTGATTAATCCAGTTTTAAGGCCATCTGCTAGTGACCACCAGTGTTTCTTGTATTGTGAATTTCCAACGTGAATGATGTCCAGGTGGAAATGTAGAGGCCGGCAGGTGTTCAATTTCTTCCTTCATCCAGGGTAGATAAGGCGTCGCTCTGGGACCGGTCATTGAAACTGGCTGTAGTCCAGGCAAAATGACTGAAGGAGATCCACTGACAATCGAAACGGGCAAGCGGACGGTGGCAGAGGAGTGGCTCTGTGTGATCTTCCTTTAGCGACCCGCCTCTCCGTAGTTGATCTGAAGTGAAAATGGAGATGTCATGGATCAACCATATGGGGCTTTCTCCTTCAAAAGTGCCCATTCAGGGGAACTAAGGCTGTGATATGAACTACAGCATTAGCAGGAGTGAGAAGCTGCCCGTCGTAGCCCATCCAGGAGCCACATTCTTGGATGGTTGGACGAGGAGGACCAGTTCTGGCTTTGGAACTGGCACAGAAATAAGGCCACAGGAACACAGATGACGTCCTTTCTTTGCAAGAGAAGTGCTGAGAACCTGTGGGACAGCAATATTCATCATTACTTCACCGTATCTTGCTAGATGGCCCCAGTCTCTCTGGACGAAAGACCGAAGCAACAGCAAGCTGTTTGTATACCTAGAGTTCTCCCAGTAGTTTCTTTGGCCAGTTCAAAGGTTCTGTTGTCCAATTCTGAGCTCTGGCGATTCCATTCCAATGTGTTAATTTCCTCTCGCAGTTCCAGTTTGATACGCCTTTCCTTGCTCTCTGCTTTTTGCTGAGAAGCAGCTATTGCATTCTGTCCTGGGCCGGCAGCTTCCCTCCAAAGAAACAGGAGTAGAAGTGTGTCTTTCATATTCTCCTGTGCTCCTGGAATAGATCGTGCACAAGAAAGGAAAGAGTTCTGATGGTGCTTAAGGTATCTGCTCCTTTAGACCCTCTCCCAGCCTTCATGGGCACAGGTCTCCAGGTTGCCTTATTCTGGAATGGCCAGTGCTGCTTCATGGATTGACTCCGAATCGGAGAGACCCCAACAGATCCCAGTTGCTGTGCTGGGATCTCCAGAGTGCTTGGATTAGCGCCAATGCCACCGTGTGCCGCACTTGTGTCTTGAGGCTGGTTTCCTGACAGGACATGCTTTCTTCAGTGGAACGATGATAAAGGAGCTGCCATTCAAGGCAGCCAACAATAACAAAGCCAAGATGAAAACAAAAGGTTAGTTAAAACAGTAATAAAAATAAAGTAGAAGCACAGTTAAAAACAATAAAAGCGATGTATCTAATACCCTTCTGTCGCATCTTTTCTCTTGGTCGCATCCCTCCTGAGACCCCGCCGCCCTCCGGCATGTTTAGCCTCTCCCCGAGGGAAGACGCTCGGTTCCCCCATTCGCCGTGGTTGCCGCTCGCTGCTTTCCCAGGGCTGTGCCGAAAATAGCCATTCTGTGCCTCATCTATATGCTTCCATTGTGTGCTGTTATCTCAGGCTTTGGGCTCTTTGCTGCACGGCCCGTGGTGTTCGTTCAACAGAGCTTCTCTTGCTTTCTCATGTGCGGAGGATCCTGCTGCTGGCCGTTGAAACGGGCAAAAAGCTCACGCTGCCATGACATTATTCCTTAAGTGTGTGAAGTTCAAACGAGGAATGACTAGACTAGCTATGCTTCTTGCATGACAATGATGGCTTCTATATATGGTGCCCTGCAGAAATGCTGGCATTTGGCTCTTCTGCATTTGGTCATTCTACAACCCAGAGCTGAAAGAATTTTAGAGGTAGCGTTACCATTCGATGTACACAAAACACTCAAGGCTGTGGATGTGCAAAATGCTTTTATCGTAGCACAAGAGTTAAGTCAACAAAGAGCCTGGCCTTGTGGCTTCAGTTCCCACAGTCGCTATTTGGTAGAAGCACCTTTGGAAGCAGCTGCGGCTGCCTGTCTCATGAGTAAGCCCATCAGCTTTGCCCATCCGGATCCTGCCATGCGTGGCCATCCGTCCCGGCAAAACCGCCCCGGTTCCGTCGGCTCACGGGGGACCGTTCGTGAGCAGCAACTTCCAAGTCTTGCCACGGATTCTCAGCTTGGATCGAGTTCTGGGCTGAAGGCATTCTGAGAGATTCAGGTTCTCCACCCCGCCCTGCCCTGCCCCACCGACTTTAGTTGTGGGTCTAGGGTCATCCGTCAGCTGGAAAATGAACCTCTGCCCCAGTCCCAGGCCCCTGTGTGTGATCTAGATTTTTCTTTGGTCTCGCCCTATATTTGTCTCCATCTCTCTTCTTCTCAGCCCTGACCAGTTTCCCAGTCACTGCTGAGGAAGAGCATTCCCACGATAGGATGCGCCCGCCTCCATGTTTCGCTATGGGGATGGGGTTCTCGTGAGTGCTTGTCGGCTTTGTGTCGTGCATAACGTTTCACGGTGAGGCCAAAACGTTCAGTTTTAGAGCACAGATCCTTCTTCCACGTGCTCGCTCGCTCTGCCTCCCCCAGGCCTACGGGCTCTCCCGCCACCGAACTGCAGGCTCCAGGGGGCTTTGATATGGGTGTGTTCCAGCAGCGGCTTTCTTCTCACCACTGTCTTGTGGAGCACCTGGGTCCCGGCTGTCACAGGGACTTTCAGCTTCACATCTTCGCACAAGCGAATGCTTAGAAGTCCGGGGGGTGGAACACTTCGGCAAGGCATCTGTGCTGCGTCTCTGAAGCTTGTCTCCCGCAATGCCAGAACAAGCTGACCTGGTGGTCCCTGTGCATCTGCTTCTCAAATTGTGCTCAGCGAGGAGAGGTGCGGCGTGTCGCATAATACAGGTGTCCTCGGGACCGCTTCCCTCTCTCAAGAATGCTGTGCAGAATTAGCTGGGGGACGGGGACGGGTCGATCTTTCATCCGTCACTGTGACATTTATTAATCTGGCGAGGGCCCAGTGAATCTGAAGGGCTGCTTGGCGCCCGGCTGCTGGATTGCGCTTGTCTCCCGATGAAGCAAGGCGCTGCCGCTGTTTTGCAGAGGCTGTGAATAAGAAAGGCCCGTAGGAGGGGACTGGTTTGATGAGCTTCAGCTGGTTTCTCTCCCCCCTCTTTTGAAAGGCTTTCTTTCATCAGAGTATGGTAGGGCAAGTGCTTTTTGAGCCAGGATATCACCAGGGGTGGGGGGGGGGGAGTGTTCTGCAGCAGCATCAGACTCGGAGGGTTCTTTCTCCTTCACAGAATAACTGGTCAGGATGTGACTTGAGCACTTGGTTATGAACCTTTCTGATTTTGCTGAATTCTGCCTGTCTTTTGGGGCTGCACGATGCTTCTGCTGCTCAAAGAAGTCCCGTGCCAGGTAATATGTATGCAACATGACCCCGCTCCCCCCCATAGAAACTTCGCTTGCAGGGTGCTTCCTTGGTGCTCTTTAACCTTTGCTAGTGGTAAACTGTGTGCTTAAGTGAAACCTCTGTGTGTGTGTGTGTGTGTGAGAGAGAGAGAGAGGGAGAGAGAGAGAGAGATTGCTAACCTTTACAGAGTTAACGATAATTAAAGTGAAAAATGAAGGGATAATTTTTGTGCACTGTTTACAAAACAATTGGATTTCAGGGAAATTACTTGGGAAACAACCCTGATTTAAATGGTTGGGATTTTTCTTGTTAGCTTGGGGCAATTTGTTTGTTGTTTAGTGGCAAAAATGTGCCTGACCCATAGCCGTGGGTCAATAATAGTGCAAATACTCACTGTGGCTGAAGCGGAGTGTGTGTTTGCAACTGTTTGGCACAGACGTCTCCCGCCAAAGAGCAGGCTTCCCGGTACTGCCTTGTTGGGTGTCTGACTGGGGCCATTTTGGGGTGCAGCCTTGCGGGCGACGATGTGGGGGACAGAGGCCGTGGATAAGCCATGGAGGGTTCCATTGTCATCGCGCATGAGATCACCCCGAGAGCAGGAAATGCACGGCAGATTTCTCCCAGTCCTTACGATCAAGAAGTCATTCGGCATCTTGAGGGGCTTTGTTCTGTCCAGTGAATATGTGGCTACGGCATTAAGCGGCGGTCTGCGGGCTGCACTTTCAGCCGGCCTGGCTGTGGAATGATCTCACTGATGCTTGGTAATGCCAAGTTCGAGTTTGCGGGCATTGGGCGATTTTTTCTCTTCTTCATCAGAGACAGGAATTGCTGTTTGCTGTATCGCTGTTCTTCAAATGGCAGGAATGTTGGAAAAGATCGCCTGTGGGGTTTAGTGGCTAATGGGAAAGAGAACTCTTCATTGTGTTGCTCTCTGACATCAGACTTTTCCAACATTAAAGCCAGTCTTGTATCGCAAAGCACCACGCTTCGTTGTGTATCGTTCGATGTTCTTCTGTTACGCCTTTTTAGCATGGGGCACATGATTGCTAAGGATATGAACTAATTCAGAAAGTAGCAAAGTAACACCCTGACTTTTGACTGATTCAATTAGCCTGTGAGACTTCCAAATGCAAGGGTTCGAGAAGAGCGTTTACTAAGTTGAAGCTGCACTTTTTCTTCTCTGCGGAAAGGGGCTGTGAGACCCGTATCTGGACTCCATTTGTATGTTTTAACGTGGAGGGTGGGCTCTTGCTGTCACTTCCCCCAAACTTTCACAGTTAGGACTCTTTCCCGGCACGCCTGGATTTTGGATGCCGTATGCAAAGCAAGCACTTTGCCTCAGTTCCTCCTCTGTAGATAATGGCACTCTGCCTCACAAGGTGGCGGCTTGTCTTCTGAAGTTGATCTCAAAGGATGGTAGGTGGTCTTGCTTGAATTACCCTGGAAATTGGGCTTCTCTCCCCCGGAATGAAATAGATTCACTCCTTAATTTCTGAGTGCCCCCCAGCAGCGGTTTCTTCTCCACAGCGGCGCTTTTCATCGCATTGCAAGTGTCGGGTCTATCGAGAAGTTCCCCAGAGGAGGAGCTGTTTGCAGGGGTGGGACAACCAAGCCACCCGATAACAAGTCCGAGTCGTTGCAGCGGCGGCTTCGCAGGACAACCCCCCCTCCCCGTTGTTAATGTGCTTTATAATGACCGTGCCTTGAATGTCACCTTGGACTTCAGAAGTCCCAGGTCTGGCTCTTGGCACCTCCAACTTAAAAGAGCTCAGAGCTGAATAAACCGTTTGCCTGAATAAGGCATCGTCACCCATCAGAGCAGTTCTCTGTGGCCTGTGGCAGAGCAGTGCTGTGTCTCAGGATAAGGCTGCGATTTCAAGCCATAATAGCACCGTCTCGCATGCGTGTGTCATCCCGGTCTGGTAAGTCCAATAAAACTAACGGGCAAGGAACGACGGAAGAGATGAGTTCTTCCTCATCCACTGAGCCTGTGTGGAAAATGTTCCCGTGGCATATCCAAGTTTCACTTGTGTTCTCTTCTTGCCCCGTCATCACTCTGATTCTCTTTACAGCTGTAGCTGGAAGGGTGCAGGGAGGCAGGGGAGGAGTCAAACTGCTTAAAGAGCAGTGTGGCATTGGTCCGCCAAGAAACCCATCTGCAGGTAACGTTGCTGCGGAAAACTGTTCTTACATCATAGAGCATTGTCACCCAGTGCCGCTGAATGCCTTCATTTAAAGGTTCTCGTCTTCTGTTAACCCCGAAGCTTGCCAAATATGTAATCCAGTTGGAAGAGGATTTAAATGCTTCCAGCTGGAGCCCCGATGCCTTTAAAGCTGTCTGTTTGCGACAAGGCATCACCGGCACATTATGACAGCATTTATTCATCTGCTCGAAGCTTGGAACTTCGCTCCTGGCTCCTGGGCTTGAGAAGGCCCTTCATGTTCTGCAGAACAGCAGCCACACTTGGCTTAGGTCACAAGCTAAAATTTCCAGAAGCCTCGGAGGTATAACGCATGCACTTTTCTTTGACAGAAGAGGCATGTCAGAGCTACTTTGGGGGAAACAAGAAAGAACGTTTGCAGTGTTTCCTTGACTGCCTCTTTACCCCGTCCCCTCCTTGTGGCCTGAGAAAGCCATGCAGTGCATGAAATGCATCTGTCCACTGTTTTGTTTGACTGCTACAGGCTAGGAAAAGGAATCGGTCAGGGTCAACCTTGCCCGAGCCGGTGCCTTCCACGTGCGCCGCAAATGCAGCTCCCATGATTTTCAGCCAGCACGGGCACTGGGAGCTGTGGGAGCTGGTGTGCCAGCTGGGGGAAGGCTGGTCCAGGGGTGTTTGTGGAGAAGGCTGTTGCCGTTTCTGCAGCCCTCTCCCACACGCCTCCCTCAGCATCCCCAAGTGGGCCACCACGGAAGGGCATTCTCCACATCTGGTGCAGCTGTTTGGAAGGGCCCTCATCGAAGCAGGCAAGTCGACCTCAGGGGATTTCTGACAGCCTAAACTGGCAAGCGGAGGATCGTTCCCAGACCAGTTGGAATGGGGGGCATATGGGCCGAGGTCATTGGGAAGGATTATGCCCACCTGGATAGGCACACAGGTGTGCCCACACAGACCTGCTGCCACCCCACCCCCTGCTCTAACCACCTGTGTCTGTTTTTCAGCTTGAGCGAAAGCTTTTTTATGGTGAAAGGTGCTGCGTTATTCCTCCAGCAAGGAAACAGCCCACAAGGTCCACGGAGCCTCCCTCATCCTCACAAACACGCAGGTAAAGATCGTCCTGGCCAAATGCGTTTCTTGGCCTGGGCAAAAATCGTGTCGACTGGGTATCTCCGGCAATGGCCATTGGTGGGCCTGGGCGAAACATGCCGCACGCTTCCTCCGCGGGAGCCGGGGAAGGAGCTCTGCGGGGAGAACGGCCTGGTCCGTGTGGCCGGTAGCCGAGCTTCCGGTTTCGCCAGCTGTCAGCAGCTTCTCAGGCCCGGCCACCGTCCCATGGAGGGAATCTGCATCCTGCCCAGCAGGCGTCAGCTCATTGCTAAGCCGGAGCAGGTTCCCGGCGAACGCAGGCCCTCTCCATGCGCACCACAGCCCGTCTTCTGACTGTCGGCACCGAAAGGGTCAACACGCAGGTGCTGCTGTTGAAAAACAGGAGTGGGGGGCAAGCGGGTGCCCAGCTGGCTTGTTACGCTTGGCAGCGATCTGGGGTGGCTTTTCGAAATGAGGCCATACCTGGCCAGACCTGTTGGAGCTTGGCGTGGGGGCCAAACTGAGCGCTGGGGCCAGAAGCACTAGCGGGACACGTGCCTCATATTCGGGGGACCCCGAGTTCAGTCCCTGTCCCCTGAAGGATTTCAGGGCACGGAGCTGGGAAGGTCCCCCGCCAGAGTCCTCAGAGGGCCGCTCCCTGTGGTGGTCGTCAACTGTAAGCAAGGCGGGCCAGTGGTCCGACCCAGTCGCCGGCCGCGCGCCGTGTTCTGCCGTCACCCGGCCTCCACGCGGCAGGCACGGAGCCGGAGCGGGCCCCGCCTGGGCCCGTGTGTGCTTGTCCACAATAGCAGGGAGCTCAAAGGGCCGGGCGAGGCGTCGCACCCGGGTATCTTGCTGATTTCTCACTTCCTGGACCTGCAGGTGATTTGCCGCAGCACCTCCAGGTGATGATCAACCTCCTTCGCTGTGAGGACAGAATCAAACTGGTAAGCGGGCTTGCCTCGTGCCCCGATGCGATATTTGGTCCTCAGTCTCTCTGCAGCGCGAGGCCTTCCTTACACTGAAACGTTTTGAGGAACAAGCCGCCTGTGCGAGTTTGGCAGAGCTGTGAAGGAAGCGTAAACCCCATGATGATGAGGGCAAGGTCAGGCGCAGAGCCCGCAGCTGAACGCGGTTCCGTGCATTAAGATCAAGGGGGGAGGCTCAGGTTGGGGCATGACCGCAGCACCTCCACTGGCTGCCTGCCTGCCTGCTCGGGGCAGCTTTCCAGAGATGGCGCCCGAAAAGCCCCTGGCAGCCTGGGTGTTCCCCTGCTGTACAGAGGCCTTCCTTCCATGTGGCCCCTCGCTCGGTGGCTGGGGAGGGCGCAAGAACGGCATGTTCTCGTCTCGGTGGAAGCATAGCTAGGTAACGTAACGCACAGCTTGAGTGTGGGAGAGAGAAGCCTGAAGGGAATTGCTGTGCCATTCGGGTGCTGAACTTTTTCCGCTCAGCAGTCAAATTCACTTGTAGAGACGCTCTTGGGGCGTTGTTCCAGTGGGAGATGGAGCCAGAGGCAAGGGGAGGAAGCCCAGTGCCAAAGATCCCAGAACAGGGTAGCTGAAAGCTCCGAGCTGCCGGTAATGAAGCTTTAGGGGAAGCATTTCAACCTTTTAAGAATGAGGGGGAAAGATCCGAAAGCCAGGGGGTGAGGGGACAGGCCTGCCAGAAGGCTGGCCTCCTCTTGCAGGCCTGACGCTCGTCCCCTGCACCCCCTAGCTTTAGCAGAGCCAATGTTTGCTGTGGCTGAGAAGGGTCTTTCTGATTTCTAGGCCGTGCGTTTAGAAAGCGCCTGGACAGACCGAGTCAGGTACATGGTGGTGGTCTACAGCACCGGACGCCAAGATACGGAGGAAAACATTCTACTGGGAGTGGACTTCTCCAGCAAGGAGAGGTGGGTGCTGAGCATGTGCGCATGGGGTGGTGTGGAGGACATTCGCATTGCCAGAGGTGTTCGTCTGTAATGCCAAGTTGCAAAGTGATTTTTTTTCCTTTGGGGTGAGCGTATGAGCTTGCGCTTTCATGTCCAGTGTGGAATGCCAGTCCAGAAAGTATATTACAAGAGATTAAATATATATATATATATATATATATATATTTTGTGGGACTGGAATGTGGGAGTTGAGTTCCTCACCAATCACCTTGGGCAGGTCATTCTCTCTCAGCTCATGTACCCTGCAGGGTAGTTTCAAGGGTAAAATGGAGGCCCAGGGAGAGTGGGGATGCGGCCTTCAGTTCCTTGGAGGAAGGTGGAGTAAAGACAAAGGGAACAAAGGAGCAGAATCTCTGTCAGTTGCTCTTTTGAGTTCCACACATGTTTGAAGCCTGCAGTCGCTGGAAATTCCCATCTCTCTTTCTTGACAGCAAAAGCTGCACGATCGGGATGGTTCTGCGTCTGTGGAGTGACACGAAGATTCATCTGGATGGTGACGGGTAAGAAACAAAAGCCTTTTGGTAGCTCGCTGAGAAGAAGCAACGTGAGTGAGAGTGTTTGTTGGGAAGAGGCAAAATATGATATATGTTTAAACAGATATTACTGTAGATGCACTAATGACCGTAAAACTAGTTCTAAGCAGTGTGCAAAATGCATCAAAATAAGTCATTTATGGGAACATGAAAACCCGTTGCTCACAGTGCAGGAGTGAACGGAGCAGGCGGGTGGCCCGGCCAGCCAGGGAGGGCCTGGAGCACAAGGCAGGTCTCCCGCCGGGGCCTGGCGGGTGCTGCCGCCTCGGCCCGTGCACCTCGGGGGGCTCCCTGCAGCGAGCGCCGCTGCGGAGCCGGCCCGCTTCCGGGTCGCCGCGGGAGGGCGTGTGGCGGCCCCCCGCATCCGGCACGGCCTCCCGGGGCGACCCGAACGGTTGCACCGGTCTGCGCCGGGAAGGCAGCCGCCGTCGCCTCCGTGTATGTGCACGCACACACCCGTGTTTGTGTGTGTGCCTGAGGAGGTGCATCATCGGCGCCTGTCCAGACAGAGGAATAACTCCGTAGCTTTATGTGCCGTATCCCTGACTGCTGTGGCGCAGTCTGTGCATTGAAGAGCGAGCAGTGATACCTTGAGATACGCATGCCGTTCTCCTCTCTGCTTTCTGCCTCTGCTAGCGGATTCAGCGTCAGCACTGCGGGGAAAATTCACATCTTCAAGCCCGTGTCGGTACAAGCGATGTGGTGAGTTGTTCGGCCCTTTCTGCTAGCTGCTGCTGCACATTTCATTTCATTCCCTTCCCTTCTGCAGCGTAACGGTACGTTGTCTGCATGGGCGCCCCTCCGGTGGGCACCGTTCCCCCCCTTCCTGCCCTGTGGGATAACTTGGTGGCTGAGTGGATGCAGCTGCCTGGATGAGGGCTTCTAGAGGACCAGACTGGCAATAAATTATTACGTGATTTGGCTCAGAACGGCTCTCGCTGGGGGGAAACTGGGTGCCCAAGGCAGAGGGAAAGGGGTGCTGTGTGTGTCCAGAGGAGCTACGAGGCTGCCCACCCACCCTCGACACGTCAGGATTCTGGAAACTTGCCGAGAAGTGGAATTTCTGTCTCATGGGCGAATCGTAGTGCTCTGGGGTCCTGCTGAATCAGAGCCCGCAGTCAAAATGAGGAATAATTTAGGAAGGTTAATGATGTGAGAACTGAGGAGCTGCTGGGAAGTGTGTGTTTGTGTGCCTGTGCATGTGTTGCAGAGGCCACACATGTGCAGAGCAACAAGAGATTGAGTCCGGCCAGCAAGGCTTTCTCGGAATCCTCCCCTTTCACCTCTTGTGCTCCCCTGTGGCCCCTCCTGTGTCCCCCGCTTTTCCAAGCCATAACTTGGAATGCAGGCGGACTCACCCCCGGTCATTCCAGGCCTCACTGAGGAGGCGGAAAGGCCCTGCTGCCCCGCGAGACTGAGTGAGCGTTGCAGCTTCCGCTCTGCCTTGAGAGGCTGGGAATTCGAACGCAGGACCTGCTCGCCAAACAGGCTCCGTGGCTGCAGCCCCTCTTCCCTCCTCTTCTCGCCCTGCCGATCTCGGCATCGCCATTTGTTTCCCAGCTTCGTTCTGACTGACGGGGGGATGGCCGGAGGCCACGAGGGCCGGTGGTCCAGCGCAGCTGAGAGCAGCATCCGGGTGGCCGAGGGATAACTGCGGCTCTCGCGCGTTGCACTGTGCAGACCCGCCTCCGAGGGGGTTTTGCCTGGGCTGGGTGGAGCGGGGCAGTGGCAGAATCGGGGTGACCCACAGCAAGCTGCTGCTGCTGCTGCAGTGTTCAGGGCCCGCTTCCTCAGCGGTGATCTTCTCCAGCCCCGCGTGGATCCTCCTGCACCTGCTCTTCCGTCCTGTGAAGGAAGCCCAGGGTGGGCACCTACCTTCCGCCCCACAGGAAGGAAGGCCTGCTACAGGCAGTGGCCCAGGCGCCACTAGATTGCGCTGTTGCTCTGTGCTGGTGGCTTTCCGTGAGGCAGAGGCCTAGCGTGTAGGTTCAGGCAGTGGCGTCGTGGCCCTTGGAAAAGCAGCCGTGTGGAAACCCCTGTTTGTGGCAAGCCATGGGCTTCTGCTGTTTAGAACCTGCCGCTGCGAACCATTTGGCTGCTGTGCTGGTGTGGCTGAGATTGTCAGAAAGCCGCTTCCACGCGCCCAAGAGCAGCGTTCAGCTCAGCAGCGCTTGCTCCTGTGCAGGCGTTCTTCCAGGCGGGCCTGCTTCCCGCTCCGGAGTGCCGGCGCCCTGGCTGACGTTGGCCCCCTCTGGCTTCCGTGCTTGCAGGTCCGCCCTGCAGATCCTGCACAAGGCCTGCGAGGTGGCGCGGAGGCACAACTACTTCCCCAGCGGGATGGCGCTGGTCTGGGCCACGTACTACGAGAGCTGCATCGCCTCCGACCAGAGCTGCATCAACGAGTGGAGCGCCATGCAGGACCTGGAGTCCACGCGCCCCGACTCGCCGGCTCTATACGTGGACAAGTGGGTCCTCTGTTTCGGCTTGAGCCCGAGACTTTCAGGCAGTAGCAACTCAGGGTGCACAGGCGGTTACCCAGAATCCAGCCGCTGGCGTAGGTCCGCTTGGGCTTCTTTCACTGGGGGAGCAGCTCTGCCCCCTCGTGATGGCGCGGTGGAGAGCAAGGGGGAAGGCACACGCGGGCTTTGGGCAGTATGGGGCTGAGCCTGTTCCTGGGGCCTCCGAGGCTGCCACACGCCCCCCGCTGGGCTCTGGCCCCGTCGCAGGCAAGCCGAGCAAACGGCCAGGAACTGTCACCTGCCGTTTCCTTTTCCAGGCCAACCGAGAGGGAGCGGGCGGAGCTGCTCATCAAGGCCAAGCTCAGGAGCATCATGATGAGCAAGGACCTGGAGAATGTCACCTCCAAAGAAGTAAGCGGCACCCGTTGTGGGGCCGTGCTGGGACTGACTCCTTGGCGTCTCCCCCTGCTGCTGGGAAGCTGCCTGGCCCTGGTTGGAACGTCCCACCTGGGGTGGCCGGCCTGGTTGCTCGGGGAGCCCTGGCTGGCTTCTGTAGGGCTGGAACCGGCTCCGGCTCCTCCCAAAAGTTCACTTCCAGTAGAAACCAAGGGATGGTTCTGCCTTGTTCTGCCCAAGACCTTGGTCTTTGACTTGGAGTCCTGAGAAGCTGGCCCCTTGTTGGGGTGCCTGCAAAGGGACCCTGCGGGGGCAGCCCCTCCGTTTCACCCCAGTGACTCCACAGACAAGAAGTCACCGGTGCTCCAGAATCTCCCCATTTCTGCCCGGGAACCTGGAAGTGGCCCTCTCTTTGCTTCAGTGACTTCTCCGCTCACCAGAAACACACTTACGCCAAGTCAGAATATTGGCCCATTGAGCCTGGTACGGTCCCTCTTGCCAGGAGGCGCTCTCCGTGGTCTGGTGAGAGGGCTCGCTCTGCTCTTGCACCGAATCCCGGTTCTTGCGCATGGGCGTCTGCGCCGGCCCTTCCGCTGCCCTCCTTCCCCGTGGCCCGGCCCCACACCGCGCAGCCAGGCCCCACTGCTCCTTCACGCTGCCGCTCTTTGCCTTCGCAGATCCGGAATGAGCTGGAGAAGCACATGAGCTGCAACCTGAAGGAGTTCAAAGAGTTCATCGACAATGAGATGCTGCTGATCCTGGGGCAGATGGACAAACCCTCCCTCATTTTTGACCACCTGTACCTGGTGAGTGGCAGCGCGCGCGAGGCCGGCTGTGGAGAGCTGGCACGGGCCGGCTGTGGAGAGCTGCTTTGGACCCACGTGTGTCTTGACTCTGGTGTGGTTCTTCCAGGGGTCTGAGTGGAACGCCTCCAACCTGGAGGAGCTCCGGGTTTCTGGGTGAGTACCCTGCTCTTCCACTGCACCGTTTCTGAAATACGGGCTGGGAAAATCCCAGGCACAGGTTGTGGGTGACTAGGAAATTGATGTAGTTAGTTAGTTATTTAGGGAACTTCTATACCGCCCCATTCGCCGAACCCTCGGGGCGGCTCACAATCATACATAAATAACATAATATAAAACAATGTAATTTAACAGTATAAATTAAGTCGCCCTGGCCAAAGAATAAAATAAATAAATAATATTAACAATTAAAATAACGTCGGAATAAAAAGGTCTTCGCCTGGCACCGAAAAACAAATAATGACGGCGCCAGGCGGAAATGTGATGAGAAAATGCATCGGACCCCCGTCAGGCCAACAACGGTTAAGTCTTCTGCTGCCCTTGAAGCTCCTGAGGCCGGTGCTCCTTTTTTCATCACTAATTTTGGGCGACAGGCAAGCAGCCTGGGCGAGACTGCTGGAGGACCCTTTGCCTGGCAGGTCGTGTTAAGCTGGGCGCAAGCTCTCCGGTGGGTTTAGAACACTTGGTCTGGCGGCGTTGATTTGTTTACCGTGTTTTAACTCCTCAGTGTCGAAAACGGCTCTCTCAGTGGTTTACGAGGGTCACTAACAGGACAGTCTGAGGCAGACAATCGAAAAGACATGACCCAAAAGGAGAATGGATGGGGAGGGGGGATGCCGGCCCTCAAAGCAGGACGCTGCTGCCGAAGCCACTCATGGCTGCCTCTGCCGCCACTGTGGGATCTCGCGGGAGCCCTGGAAGAGTGTGTTTGTAGGAGGCGTGTGGCTGGCGTGGAGGCGGCTCAGAGCAATAAATACTTGTGAAAACGGTTCACCGGCAGCTCCGGGCCCCGTCGACGGCTGCCACTTTGCATCTCTGGTCTCCCGCCGTGCCTTAAGACCTCACGCCGTTCCTCTCTTTGCAGTGTTGACTACATCTTAAACGTGACCAGGGAGATAGACAATTTTTTCCCTGGCATGTTTGCATACCACAACATACGGGTTTACGACGAAGAGACAACGGACCTCCTGGCCCACTGGAACGAGGCCTACCACTTCATCAACAAAGCCAAGTAAGTCTGTGCCTGTTGCTGCGAGCGAGCGAGCGAGCGAGCGCTTGCAGCGGGACTGGAGAGGCGCTTCGCCCCGGGCTCCGAGGGAGCGGTGCCCCGACGGCTGTGGGGACTGTTCCGGGTGGCGCTGTCGGGCATCGGCCGCCGGTCTGCTCGGCTTGGGATTTTGGAAAAAAGTCTTCTTGGCTTGCGCGTGTTCTTGGTGCCGTAGGAACCGGCAGGGCCATCCCGCCCGCCCACCACTCCCCTCCCTCCCGACCTCCCGTCCCCTCCAGGAAAAACCACTCCAAGTGCTTGGTGCACTGCAAGATGGGCGTGAGCCGCTCGGCATCGACGGTCATCGCTTACGCCATGAAGGAGTTTGGCTGGTCCTTGGAGAAGGCCTACAACTACGTGAGGCAGAAGCGCAGCATCGCACGGCCCAACGCTGGCTTCATGGGGCAGCTGCTGGAATACCAGGGCATCCTGGACGCCAGGTCGGGCTGCCTGTGGCGGGGGGTGCTGCGGGGAAGGGACTCCCTCTGCCTGAAATGGTCGCGCTCAGAACGCACCTGCATGTTCCGAGCATCAGATGGCACAGTGGTGCAATTAATTAATATGCCGCTGAGCCAGCGGGGGCCCTCGGGGCATTTTATGCTCATAACTCTCAGACAACAGTGAAATAATGACCGAGACAGCAAATCCTCAAAATATTAAGACTCGCAACATGAAAGATCAGTCTTAAAAATCAGAATGCCAGTTTAGAGAGGAAGGTCTCAGTTTGGTGTGCCCATGTTCAGGGCCACTTCAGAGCCGGTGCTTTCCCTCTAGCCGGGCATGGCGCCTTGTGTGCAGCAGCATCTGGAGAGCAGTCTGCAGAGATGAACTTGGGCCTGGCCCAGAGCAGGGCGCCTCCCGCCCCAGGTGGTGCTGCGGGCTGATTTGTGCTGGCTCTGCTCTTGAATTTAATTGTGCTTAAGTTGATTTTGCGGGGCTGGCTCAGCGGGAAGCCCAGTGCCTGTCCTGAGCAGGAGGAGCCAAGCTCTCCGCCTGGCAGCATCTCCATTTAGAGAGGGCCTGTGGTTGCAGGTCCGGGCAAGTCGTCCCTCGACTGAAAACCACAAGGTGCTGCTGCCCCTCAGGACAGCGGAAGCAGGTAGGCGGTCCAGGGCTGGAGTTCAGCACAGGGCAGCCTCGCATTTTGGAATCGGAGGCGGGGCTTCTGCAGTCCTTGCCATCCGGACTCTGCCGGCTGCAGGATCAGGTGTTCCCAGCCCCTTGGCAGTTGGAACAGGGCGCAGGTCCTGCTGTTGGCAAGGGAGGAGCCCCGGCCCTGCAGTAACGGGCGCCTCTCTCTCCTCCCTGCCCCACAGCAAGCAGCGTCACAACAAGCTCTGGAAACAGCAGTCGGAAGACAGCCTGCCCCCAAACTCGGACGGCTCAGGCGGGCCAAACGCATACCTGCTGGACTGCCTGGAGGTTGACCCGGACCCTCCCGGCCACTCCTCCTGCGCAGACCTCCGAGCGAACCAGGAGGCCGTGGGCTTCCATTACTGCTTCCGGCGGCTCTCTGACTCCTTGCCTGGCAGCAGGGAATCGTTTTTCCAGGTGGAAGACCTGGAGAGGGACGTGCTTCTGGAGGAGGCCGAGGCCGAGGCCGCGGTGGCGGCAGACCTGCCTTTCCTGGAGTTCTCGGACAAGCCAGAAGGGGAAGCGCTGAAAGGCAAGGAGAAGATGGAGAACTCCGGCCTTGGCGAGAAGAGCGCCAAGAGGAAGCCCGAGGGCGGCTGCCTGAAGGATGGCGCTGTGCCCAGGCCCGCGGGCCCGGGGGGAGGAAGCCCCAGGGAAGAGAAGCCCACGGAGCGGTGGAAGCGGCGCTCGTCGGTGCAGCAGGAGGCGAGCGGGCAGAACTGCGAGAACCTGAACAACAACAACAGCAAGCGGAGCTGCCCCGAGGACTTCGAGGTGTGTCTCGGGCGGAAGCCGGCAGGAGCTCCGCGGAGCCTGCCGCGCGTGCCTCCTGCACGAGGGCACCTGCCGGAGGCGCGCTGCCTGCGGTGCCCCTGCCGGGGGCGACACGGCCACGCCATCCGCCCGGGCTCTAACACCCGCTCCTGGAAGCAGGGAGCTTTGCTCAGGCAGGCCGTGTGATGAGATACCCCCGAGCCATGCGCTCCGTTCTGGGCAGTTAAGCAGTCCTCCCCTCGTCAGAGTGGCGGACAAGCCAAACTCCTGTTGTGTGTGGCTCTGCCAAGCTGCGTGGTGCTTTAGAAAGCCCAAGGCGGCAGCCCCTGCCCCAGAAGTTCTAGTAAAGTTCAAGCAGAGGGCACCTCTGTTCCTTTCCTTGACTGGCTCATATTTCTTTTTCCTATTTATTTCAGTGCCTCCTCCCAAATGAGGGGTGAAACAAACAGGGCTTCCACCCCTCAGTTTGGGAACTGAGTAAATCCAACAGCAGGAGCCCAGCAGACGCGACCACTGAGCACCACTGCCAGGGGAAGGGGTGTTGTAGCCTGTTTGGGACCTGCTGGCTCATTTGTTCAGCCGATGGGAAGGGCCCTGCATTTTATTTGTTGACTGATTTGATTTATAGCCCTCCTTTTTATTTTTAAAGACCTCAGGGCAGCTTATATCATTCTCCTCTTCCTGCTCTCAGCCCTATCCCCACAACAACCACCCTGTGAGGCAGGCTGGGCTGAGAGTCCACGGTTGCCTCGAAGTCGCCCGGCTGGCTCCATGGCTGAGTGAGGGCTGGAGCCCGGATCGCCTGGGTCCCAGGCCCTTGCTTTCAGCCACTGCGCCACACTGGCCCTCCGCTGGAGTGTGGAAGCTCATTTAGAGCCGGTCACACTAGAAGCGCCCGAGATGCATTACCCCACTGAGGACGGGTGACGCTGAAAGCCCTCCTTGTCCTTGGCCGGCGGTAAAAGCAGGACACTTCTCGGATCGTGGTGCTGGGGAGTCGGGGTCCGCCAACGTGGCTGATGGGTCGCGGTGGTTCTTGCCTCATCCCACCCAGCATCCTGTTTCTGAGAAGTACGCAGCGTCAGGGCATGGATGGAGAGGCTCCAAGCAGCTGCTGAGGTCTAAATAACCACATTGGTTGGGCAGACGCTTTATAGATTTTTTTAAATACCAGTCAGTATGAGAACTGCTAGTGACAGGCACGATCTTTAAAAAAAAAGACGCTTTCTCCCTCTGGGTGGACAGAATTCTTCTTGGGGGATCCAGAAGGAAAAAGCATGCATGTCCCCCCGTCACTTCTCCAGAACTGCATGCTTTTTTGATCTGTCATGCAGGTCTAATTGGTTAAAATACATACCGTCAATTGCCCGAAGTTCCTCACGCGGGCTGGCAGCCATCGGAGGCCTCTGCCTTGCGCTGACAGGCTGGCTGAGGCCTGGCTCCTGAGCTCCCTCTTCTGTCCTTTTCAGCACGACGCCATCTTTGGGATCCTCAACAAGGTGAAGCCTTCTTACCAGTCCTGCGCTGACTGCATGTATTCTTCCGGGGGCGCTCCCGCCGAGGCCTTTGGGGAACCCTGTGAGAACCTGCCCCTGGCCTCTCCACGCCCCAGTTCCACGGTCTGCACCCAGCCCGCGTTCCTCTCGCACGGGGCTTCAGCATTTTTGGAGCAGGCCTTCGGCGAGGCTCCCCTGAAGGGAATCCCTGGCGCCAAAACCAGCAGCCTGCCCTCCGTGCTGGCGGGGAGCGATGCGCAGAGTGTCGACACCAGTCGGCCTGCAGCCGGCTGGGCCTGTGCTGCAGCCGAGAAGCCCAGGGACGGGCCAAGAGCACCCCTCGGGGCTTTGCTGCGCCCGCGGAGTCCTCTCTGTGAGAGGAGCGCCATCCTGAACGACGGGCTGAAGGAAGACGCCGCGCCGAGAAGAGATGCCCGCCAGACCAAGGACCTGAAATACTTGCTCTTTAGTAAAGATCTCGAGAAGCCAACCACCAACAGCTACCTGATGCAGCATCAGGAGTCCCTCCTCCAGCTCCAGAAGGCAGGCCTGGTTCGGAAGCATACGAAGGAGCTCGAGCGGCTCAGGGGCCTGCCCGGCGAAGCAGCGCTGCAGGCGAAGGAGGGCTCCGGGGAGCCACCCGAGATGACTATTTTTGAGGAGCCCCAAGAGCTGGAAGGCCCTCCGGGTCAGCTGCCCCTTCTCGGCCATTCCCCTTCGGTGCCCGAGAAGGCCCAGAACGACCGTGGGAAGCGGCAGAAAGCCCCTCCCGTAGGCGGCACGCCCCAGAAAACCTCCACGCCCGTCCTGGGCAAGGTGGAGCACACGAGCAGCTTCAGCAAGGACTTCCTCAAGACCATCTGCTACACGCCGCCGTCGTCGAGGAGCTCGAACCTGACCCGCAGCTCCAGCAGCGACAGCATCCACAGCGTCCGCGGGAAGCCTGGCCTGGTCAAGCAGCGGACCCAGGAGATTGAAACACGGCTGCGGCTCGCCGGCTTGACTGTCTCATCGCCCCTGAAGCGCTCCAACTCCCTCGCCAAGCTGGCCAGCCTCAATCTTTCCTCGGAGGACCTGAGCAGCGACGCGGACGCGTCCGTGCTGACTGACTTGCGGGAAGCCAGGTCGAGCGAGGCTTCGGCGCACGGCGACCTCCGTCCCTCTCCAAAGAACACTGACGCGAGCCCCAGCCCACTGGCAAAATCCTCTCGGGGAAGACTGAAAAGCACGCCCTGGACGGGGAAAAGTTGACATATTTGCAATCTTTTTAAAAAGCTAGTTTTATTTTTGTCTGTACTAAATGCAATTTTATCCTCTTTTAAAAAAGAGAATGTTCGCTCCCTCTTTCCATGTGGTGCTTTAAGCTGAAGGGTGGAAAGGGGAGATTCTGACAAGGGCAACCAGCCCAGGAAGAAAGCACTTACGAGCCTTCCGGCTTGGAAGGCCACTGCTTCCGTAATACGGCCTCCTATTTTCCCCGGAGTGGTACGGTGGCGGCTCCTCCTCTCCCCCGCCGAAAAACCTTGTTCGAAAGAATTGCCGAGATTTTCTCCACGGCTCAAGCCAAGCACAGTTCCTAATTCAAAGAGGCCCTTGCCGGAAGAGCCTGCGAGGGCGATGCAGGCACGCTACCTCCATTTGTGTATTTCTGTCTCCCTGTATGTATAGCTGAGATTTTAGGAAATCTTCCTCTGAAATGGCTTTTTTTGCAGGCGTGGTGCAGGCACGCTTGGGGATACCTGTGTGTCCCGGGGCTCCATCTCGAAGCGCCGAGAAATGCTTGAGCGAGAGCCGAGTGGCCCCCGTGCTGCGGTGCCACGCAGGCGGCACGCTTCCCTGCCTTGGCTCACGAGAGGGCGGTCGCTCGGCTCGGCTGGGCTGGCCCTTTCGCAGGTGTGCTTTGTAGCCGTGCCAGTGAGGCCGAGAGGATGGTGACCAGGAGACCTTGTCGCAGGTACATGAACCTGGATGACGCTGATAGCTGGCGAGCCGCTCTTCTCACACTGCGTGGGAAGTCAGGTGTCGGTGGAAAGCTCCTTTTGCGGGTGGAGACGGCCGTTGCTGCTGCCCTACCTGAGACATCGGTGGGGTTGCTGCAGGCCGGGTTCTTTCCCTTTAGTTTGAAATTGTGTGACATCCTAGGTGGGCTCCCCTCAGGTTGGGCCACCTCAGGACAGTCGGTTGTCTGGGCTAGCCTCCAGGCGGCGGCTCAGGGACCGATGCCCGGCGCTGCTCCCCCAGCCCAGTCTGGCGCTCCTCTTTCCCTGCTTTGAGTGCCTGCTTGTCATGGAAAAGGGCTGGGAGGAAAGCACAGGACAGGCCGTGGCTTTCTGGGCGTGTGGCGAACCTTTCGTACCGGGGGCACAAGTCGCCTGGAGCGCTTCTCGGGCTTGTCGGAGTCGGCTGTTGCTGCAGGCGTTGCTGATAGAGGCAGAGTGTCCTGCAGATCAGAGACAAGGTCCGAGCTGGTTTCTGAGCACTGCTGAGTGGGCCCCATGGATGGCATGTGCTGTTGCGCCGGGCCGCCTCCATGTGATCTGGAAGCGCGCGTCACATCGCTCCTGCTCCCATGCTGAAGCTCCCTGGATCGCCCCCGGCTCAGCTAGGATGAGGCTGTCAGAGGAGAGAGCGCGCCTTTCCCAGGGAGATCTTGGCACCCCTTTCCTTGCAAGCAAACCTCGTGCCCAGAGGTCGTTGTTCAGGCCAGGCTTGAGTGCCGAGGAGGGGCTGGAGCACCTCTGACCTCACTCGGTGCTAGTTCTGCAGCATGACCGGAAGCACCAGGTTCCCAGCCTGCCTGCTGAAGTGCCGCTCGTGAGCCAGGTGGAGTCTTCTGGGGAAGCAGCCCTGGCCCTGCCCGCAGAGTCTCAAGCTGCGGGGCGCTCCCTTTCCAAACTTGCGCCCACATCCGTTGTTCACTGCAGCCCCATCGCCCTGGCCAGTGGTCAGGATGGGTGGGAGCTGTCGCCCAAACAACAGGTGGGGGACCCGGCCTTGGTCACGCTGGGGAGTGTGGTTCAGGCCTGCACGACCACTGCGGACATTGGTGGCCATTTTAGATTCCCTGGGACGCCGGTATCTCCGTACCTTTTGAAGTCAACAGTTCTGCGTTCGTTCATATTGGCCGGTCGGTTAGAGTTCTTCTTTGGCCTGGTAACATGGCAGAAATCTCTGTTGCTGGCTTAGGTGCGCCTCAGTCAGAGTCTCTGCTTGGTCAAGACATCCTGCTTTTTATCCAGAGAAAGCAGGGTGTGGGGGGCCCTGATCTCCAGGCTCCTTTTCCTTTGGTGTGAGTGTGGCATGAAGGCAAAGCCGGGGGGCAAAATGGTGAGCCAGGCAAAAAGATGCACGGTGACGATAACTTGCTGTTGATAAATCATTGAATGTTTATTTCCCATTCAAGTACAAAACAGATGGCGGATTGTGTCCATCTGTGGTTCTGTTTAATGTCAGATATAAATGTGAATATTCCCTTATACAGGGAAAAAGGATTCTTCTTTGGGTCTCTTTGGTCTGTATAGGGGAGGCATGCAAAACCCTTTTTGAAAAAAGCCATAATACTCGAGGCCAAATGTCTGTACTGCCCAGATTTCGTGTCATGATGGATGTTTAAATTACTAGCGAGCTTTGACATGCTTTAAGTGTTGGACGAGCAGTTTTTGCTGCCATTGGAAAAGTTCATCATGTACCCGGTTCACAAGTTTCCAAAAAGGTTACAGGAAACGGGCTACTGCTTGGAAAGATGCTTTTTTAAGGAACAGTGCGCAGGTCTTTCTCTAGCACCGTGGAGGCAGGAAGCGTAAAACCCGCTAGCACTTTCTGTCAAGAGATTCCAGATCAGTATCCGATTCTCCCCTGAGCCGTGCTCTGTATATTCGAGCTGGAATGTGCAAATACTCAAAATGGGGTGGGCATGTCTCTTGATAATGCAAGGAGCTCTCTTTCTGGCTGCTGACAGTGAGCGCCACGCTCTCCTCATAGGCCGAGTGCATCGTGAACCTGTTGATGGAGATCCCACCCCCCTCTTAATTTGGGGGGCTGGCGGCCCATCACACAATGCTGCTTCCTGCCTGTTTGGTCCAAGTATTGCAGATCACCCACCCAGGATTCCAGACACTTGCGCAGCATTAAATGCAATTCGTGCTACTGTTTAATTTGTACTCCACTGAAAACCAGCACATCTTCTTGTCTATTTCGATTGCCTTACCCAGTTTTGTAGGAGCTGCTTCTTTGCCCATCCTGCAAGGTGACTGGGGGGAGGGGGGGCACTTTCCCCAGCCATAGCAGGCCGGAAAATATGGCATTTGTGAGAACTGAAGGGGAAGGGCAGGAAGGGAATTGGCTGCGCATTTTTGACTCCTTGTGCCTCAGTTGCAAGTTAGCAGTGTATTTCCGCATAATCCTTCAGCACTGTTGAGCCCTGCTTCCCGGTTGTTTTGCATGCAGTGCTACAGACCAGGGCACTGCAACTGCTTTTGCTTTGCAATGGCAGGAAGCCGCTGGGCAAATCTCGAGCTGAATTTGGTGGCCCCCGCGGAGGAGAAATGACTGCTACGCAGGGACTGGTATTCCCAGTTGCACTTCTAAAGGCAGCTACTTCCTCCTCTCCCTTTTGCACGTAGGACGTTTCGGTGGCGTTTCCTTGTCGTGCAGCGTGTGTCCGGAGCCACTGTTCTCTCGTGAAGGGATGAGACTCGTCCCCGAGGCATTAAAATCTGCCAGGCACAGATCTGGGAGAACCTGGACAAACTTGTGATGCACCTTTAAGCCAAGCACGTGGGAGCCATGCTCAGGAGGCCTGCTTCCCCGGCTTCTGCTGCGCTGCTCGTCACAGTAAGTTGTGCTGCTTGTTAGGAAGAACATGCCCAGAAATGCTTATCCTGCAGTGCCAGGCACGTTTAATTTTAGCAGCATAGGAAAGTTTTCTTGTTGCCCTTCAGTTCCGGCAGACTTGACTAAAAGCAGGGCTTCTGCAGTGGTCGCCTCGCTCTTTTCACTGACTGCCCTTTCCAGGGGCGAACTCACGAGAGCTGATTGTATGGGGCAAGCATTCCTGCCTGCTTCCCCCCTTTTCCCTTGCTATGGAGGACGGCCGCCTGCGATCCTCCCTGACGGACTAGCGGTCCAGCAAGCTTAGCGTATCCCAGGGCCACGTGGTCCTTTGTTGAACAAGACGAGCAGGTAGAGGTCTTTAAATCGGCAGGAAGCGTCTTCCTTTCAGCATGCCATAGCAAAGACGGCGGTTATTTAATCTCCAGAACTTGGCCAGTTTGCCTGGACCAATGCATGAAATGGGTAGCTGGTTTATCTCCTTCAATGTATTGGTGGTATTTTTCCTTTCCGTTGAAAACATCATAATAAGAATGGAGTGCCTTGCAAATCGTTTACAGATACTGTGCGTTTATGTAAAGCTCTTACTTGGTTTGTTTTAGTATTTTTGGTGTTTGTGAAGTCAGTGCCACTGAGCATATGCTACTTTTGTATACGATGAGCTGACGTGCTTGGTTTGTTCAGTCATTTGGAGTAGCTAAACCAGTGACCCTTTTGCTACCCGAGAAGCAGCCAGCAACCGTTTTGGGCTCCCTCCCCATCCCCTTTTTAAAGAAACTTCCTGGCAGACCTCCTCTCTCTCTCTCTCTCTCTCTCTCTCTCGCACAATCAATGACTTAACCTATGCATTAGGGAAGGCACTCAAAGACTCCAGAAGGCTTCCCAAAGACGGAAGGCATTTGGCTTCCCCACCTGGTGTATTTGGGGCCTGAGCTCCAGATCAAGGTGTGTCCCAGCCTAAAACCTGAAGTGCACACGTGAGCACCTCTGCCCTCCCCCTGTGCCTCCCCCCCTTTCTTTGAGTAGCCCTGTTTTGAAACATCCTGCCCAGAGGCTCCGACGCTTCTGTTGCCAGTTAGCGGCCCCATGAGAGTGTCGGTTGAAGTCCTGGATGAGCCCCTTCTTTCTAAAATCTGCGGGCGTGGGTAACACTCTGCACGCGGCGTGATCGGTGCCGCGCCTTAGGGCCCTCGTGCCCACCGCGCCTGCGTAGAAGGGGGAACAAGGCGACCGAAGGCGAGGGATGCGAGGGCGACCTCTCCCGTCGCGAAGAGGGAAGCGGACGCAGCGCCGCCTGCGTGCATCTCTGTTGCGCACTCCTCCGTTGGGCCGGGGAGGCGTGGGGGCGTCCCCGAGGGCTGGTGCCACGTCCGGCACGTGGAGGCTCCGGGCAGAGCCCACAGTCGGACGACCCGGCTATATCAGCATGTGAACAAACCAATGCAGAAGCTGCAGTGATTTACCGCGTTACTGTCGACCATGTTCCTGGTACAGCATTGTTTTCTCAGTTCTGTTTTTTTAAAGATTTAAATGCATATTATATATATTTTGTACTGTACATTCACAGTAGGACATGCATAATGCACTTTTTTTTACTTTTTGTTGGTAAAAGTGTACTGTATTATGTGCTTCTTGTGAGGAAACAATTAAAAGACCCTTTTCCTTTTCTTTACAAGCGGGACTCTTGCGGGTTTTGTTCCCAAGTTACATGCTTCCGTGTGAAAAGCTTTTTGGAAACCAGGAGGTATTGCCCGAAAGGAGTCCACAGAAGTTCCCGGCTCACATGAACCAGCACGATTCACTTGTGGGAGCAAATTGACAGACTGAAAGGAAACAGGGAAAACCGACTTGCTTCCAGTGTATGAAATTTTCCCATTTAGCTGTCAGGATACAACTTGTACTTGCTACAGGAAACTAGATGAGCAGCTTTTTGAAAGGCTGGCAAGGGAATTGGCAGTCTAGAAATATCTTTTGCTCCTTCTGCCTCATCTTTAAAACAGCTGCAGCCGGAAGGTGGCAGGCAGTGCCGAGAAGGCAGGTGCGGGAAGGCCTCTTTCCTCGGAGAGGCGAATTCCATGTTGGAGAAGCTCTTCGCATCGGGGTGCCGTGGGCACCTCCTGTCGTCCTTGCTCATGCAAAGCGTCCGTCTGTTCTCGCTCTTCTCTTCCTGCAGGTGACGGAGCCGTAGTGCGGAGGGCACCTCGCTGCCCAAATGATTCAGGCGTGCCTTTGAGGATGGGGAAGCCACCCACCTGGGCAGCGATAAGAGATCAGCTGGCAAGGAGGATCCTGCTCTGGGTGGCTGCGCCAGTCAGGCGGGCTTTGCCGTGCCTCAGGGCCGAAGCAGCATGCCTCCGTGTGCCGAGGCCGGGAGCCTGGGCAGGGGGCTGCAGCGGGGACAGAGCCCTCGGCTGGCCAGGCCTCCAGCCTGATCTAGCATGGCTGTTCTTGCAGGCCTCAGAGACTCTTTGGAGGGCCAAGAACTGCTTTGCTTGACACGGGCAGAATCCTTTGCAGAAGCACAAACGGCAGTTTCAGGGTGAGTCAGCTCTGTTCCATTTTTAGGGGGGGTGGCTTTTCCAGAGTCCCACCAAATTTTGCCTTTAAAGGCGACCGACTGGTCAGCGCTCGCCTCCCGTCCTGCAAGGGGCTTTCTCGCACTGCCTGGAATTGTTCTCGTGCTGGAGGGAAAGAAACCGTCAGTGTTTATTTTAGTGGCAAACCAAGTCGAAGCCAAGGATTATCTTGTGCTCCAGCACCATCTCTCACTGACTGTTCAAAAGTCATTAACAGAACCAGGGCAGGCTTTTGATTACCTTCCAGGGTTGAGGTGCCTGGTGGTCCAGACGCAGTGCCGGCTGATTTCACCCTGCTGCCTGCCCCTTTCCTTTGGCTTTCTGTGTTTGCTGACCTGCAGCTGGGCACGCTTCAGACCAGGGGAGGGGCTGTCACTCCGAGGAAAGGCCCCGATCCAGCCCTGGCACCTCCAGGGGCAGCAGCGGGAAAGGCGGACACCTGGGAGGGTCCTGTTTCCCTTACAGACTGGCCACCCTGGCCCGGGCAGAGCAGTAGCCTGGCCTGAGGAAGGTGGCGCCCTGACCCGAGCTCCGCCTGGTGAGTGAGTCAGGGGGGGACAGGCCCTGGCAGAGTTCCGGCAGGCCGAATCTCCCCCTTTTTCCTGAGCCGGAAGCCCTTTGGGAGGCCTGGGCCCAGCCGCATGATCACTCCAGCTCCTCTGAGGAGGGTAAGACAGAATGAATAGATGCGCATTGGGCAATATTTGGGGGTCCTGCATCAGGCGGCGGGCTCGGTTGGGCAGGGCATGAGCTTGTCCCACGTGGATTTCCTCTGTCCCACGTCCTGCAGCCAGCTCAGCCTGCCTGGACCACCTCTGTCTTGCTCTGGTGCATGAACTCTTCCACAGGGGCCTCTCCTGCTGAGCTCCACCTCTGGCCCGGTCCTTCTGGTCTCCAGGACTGCAGGCACTTCTGTTGCACCGGTGTAACCAAGTCTCCTCTATCCAGCCCATTAGCAACAGACCACGCTGGGTAAACAGACATGCGTGCAAACACGGGGACCTGGCATTTGTTAAAATTGCACCTCCAGGGCAGGGCAGGGCAGGGCAGGGCAGGGCAAATTCTTAAGGAGCAGGAGAGCGGGTTTGGTTCAGTGGCGCTTGGCACATTTCAGGACAATGCCTGTCCTGGAGTGCGTCTGGCAGCCGCTTAATAAGGTAACCCCGTGTGCCATCTTGTGCAAGTTGCAGATGGCTTCAATCCACACCCACGTCTCTGGAATTCTTGTTCCTTTTTTGGCCGATTGCAGGCATTCGCTGCTTTGGAAACCCTCTTCTTCACTGCACGGGGGTTGATGTGCTGTCTAGCCACGGTAAAGCACAGCCCCTGGAGGCGAAACGGCTTCCAAACCTTCTAGCCCAGCATCCCTGACCTGGCCCATGCCCAACATTTGCTCAGCAGGAAGCGCAGAAGGTGCTTCCCACTTTCTCTCTTGTGCACCTTTTTATGCCTTTCAGAAATCGCTGCCTGTGACTCCCTTAACGGATACACCTGTTGCGTAAAACACAGATTTTTTCCTTACTGTCAAAGATCTAGCAAAGAGGAAGGGTGGCGTTGCCATGCCGAGTTTCCTGAAGGCACCAAGACCCCTCTGCCTTGAAGGGTTGCCCTGGACCAGTGGCCTTCGGGAGAGAGAGTCTTTGGGCTGAGCTCCTCTTTTGTACGAATAAGGTTAATAAAGAAACCGCTTGTTGACTCCATGCCGCTTCTCTTGTTCCCAGAATTAGGAGGTAGCCGGCCTCGCAGCCTCCCCCGCCCGCCCGCCCCCCACGTACGCCGGTGGACCAAAACACTTTATCACCAGCCGTCGTGAGGCAGCATCACAAAAAGCCAGGGAGCTCTGCTTCCAGCTGCCGGCGAGGTTTATTTTGATTTTTTGGAGCAAGGACTGTATGTTTATATCCTGTTATGAAGGTTACCATGGTAAAGCCAGACAACAATCTGCCACTGAAGGTATTCTGTCTGCATTGGTTGACTGGCGAGGGACGGATTTTTCCACCCATTTGTGAACTGGAGGAGGGAAAACAGAACCCGAAACACAAACTAGCCTCCGAGCCTTGCACTGTTTGTGCTTCTGCTGACATGGAGGGCGGAAAGGCTTCTGGGCGTGCGTGGACAGCCAGCGAAACACGGTTCCCGTCCAGCTGCTCATCCTCGGCTGTGGTGAGGGGACACCCTCTTGGGATGGCTGCGGTGGTCTTCGCTCGAGGCAAACGCCACCCACGACTCCATGCGGTGCGGTGCTGCGGTTAAGTGCGTGGGACGGGGACTCGGGCAGCCTCGGAGTTTCAGCACGGCCTACCTCACAGGGTTGTTGTGGGGATAAGAGAGAGAGCAGCTGCAGAAGGATGTCAGCCCTCCCGAGTTCCTTGAAAGCGAAACAAGCAGGATATAATAAACAAACAAACAACACAGTTCCCGAGCAGCACTTCCGCCCTGCTCCTAGAGAAACTTAAATAAAATAATAAAGCCACAAGGAAGTCCCGTGGAAGCAAGACACAACGGGGCCATAAAGTACGACAAAAGGCAGTGGAAACCCACACCAGACCACCTGCACGTGTGTGTTGGCCCCAGCAAGATTTGCTTTGCCGTCTTCCTTCCCTTTGCAGCTCCAGGTGAAAATGTGACGTGGCTAAGCCTTTCCATTTATCGTTCTTTATTACAAATTGCAGTATTTTAAAACTGCCCTTCCCCAAGGGCAGGGGTGGACCGCTCTAGTCCTCCAGATGTTGGGGGCCTCCAACTCCCGTGATCCCTCCACCGTTAGCTACGCTGGTTGGGGTTGATGGTTCTGGTGCAAAACATCTGGATACCACAAGTTGCACACCCCTCTCCTAAGGCATTTGGGTGGTTTCCAGGAGGCAAAACAACTCACGCGGCATCACAGTATGACGCAACACAACCTGACAGCCGCATCTCAACAAAACCAACCTGAGGTCAGACTTTCTCTCTTGGCGGTCGCTCTTATTAAAGCTTGCAGCCTGGCCGTAACCTGTCACCTCTGAGGACGCGGAGGGGCTTCGAGGAGCCCGGCCAGGCCTTCCCGGGGCCCAAGGGAGCTTGGGGGCAGGGGGCAGGGCTGGCCTCGTCCGCAGCGGTGGCAGCCGGCAAACGCCGGCCCTTCTAGGCCCAGCACTCCTCCGGCACGCGGGTGGCCCCGGGGACACTGCGCCCCTTCTGCCCGCTTCACCTGGCCTCCAACGCCCCCATCTGGGCAGAGGGCGCCCAAATGCCGCTCTGCCGCCTCTGCAGGGCATGGGCTGCCAAGCTGCCGTTGAAAATGGTCCGGAAACTTCAGCTGGTCCGACGCAGGGAAGCGAGACTGAATGGGGATGGGCCGCAGGATCACGAGGCGCCCCCTGGGCTGCCAGGCTGTTTTGGGGCCAGCTTCAAAGTGCCGCTGGGAATCGACCGAGCCCTCAGCAGCTTGGGCCTGGGTTGCCTCCGCGTCCCCCCACGGAGACCTTCGGGGACTGTTAGCTCATCCCACCGCCCAGAGGTCACCCGCTGGCCTTCCCTGCCCTAAACAGAGGATTCCTGCCCCCCATGGAGAAATAAAGGCTCCGGTTGGGCTTTGTCATCGGCTCCGAACGGATCCCTCAAGCCCTGCATCGCACAGAAGGCGAAGGCTTGGGGCAGTCGCCAAAGACATCAGGGCTCGCTGGGCCCCACTTGTCCCTACATAGAGAGAGAGGTGGGGGGCAGAACGGCAGCGCACCCGCCACCCGGCCCCAGCTCAGGAGGCCGTACTGGGGAGGCCAGGGAGCCAGCGCTGCTCCTCCAGGCAGGGGCCAAACTGTCCGCCTCGCCGAGACTTGGCAGCTGGTGCTCTTTGTTCTCTGTCCGTGAGGAGGGAGTCTTGTGGGGGTTACGAAGGAAGCCTCTCACCTAGCCGGCCATAAAAGGCAAGGAGTGGAGGGAGGCCTTTGCGATGGGAGCTGGACAGAGGCGCTTGCTCCCTGTTCGGCTGAAAATGCCAAGTGCCCAGGGCCGCGTGGAAGCCGGCTTGGGGCTCGTTAATCAAAAGCACTCCTCATTTCGGAGATTTACGGGAGATGTTTTTGCCAAAAAAGCCTAGGACCTCTGTGACCCAAAGGCCAGCATCTTGATAGGTGCCTAGTCCACGGGATGCTGCACGGAATCCCGTGCTCCGGCCGCCCCTGTTTACCTGCGAAACGTTTCTGAGGCCGCAGCCCTTTGCGGAGCGAGATCAGATTCCGGCAAAGCCCCCCGGCCTCGACCCGCCTCCCCCCACACCCTGTGCCCAGATGCCGCATTCTTCTGAAGTACGCAGGCCCCGGTCTTGAGCTGCGTGCAGCACCCTGGCTAAGAAAGGAGTGTTTAGGCAAAAGGGATTTGCGACGAGGAGGATCGTCCTCGGAAACGAGGCGAAACAGAATCCTGCCGGCAGGGGTGGAGGCGGACTTTCAGCCTTTCCAAAAAGCCGCAGAAGAAGGTCCTGTCTCCAGTGAGCAGAGATGCAGCCGTCTTGACCATAAATGACTGCGGAGGGAGCACTGAATCATCGCTGCCAGGCCAGCCCCGAAGGCCAACCGCAGGAAACCGCCAGAAGAGATTCCCACAACCTGTTCCCGGAAAGGAGAAAGGAACCGGAGGGGAAAGCGTGTTAGCATGTAGAGGTCCTTCCGGCAAAGAGGACTGCCGTGAAATTGGGACTCATTGGACTTTGGATGTGAGTGCAGCTGCTCAGGTGGGGAACATCTGTATGGTGCCTTGTCTCTTAACTGTTTCTGTATCCTGTCAGGATAGTGAGATGGATACTGCCACTCTGCTAGGGGTGTTTCTGTCCCTCCTGGGCTTGGTAGTGTTGATAATCTCTCTTCTCGTAAGCATGAGCTAAGATGTTCCCGGGCAATTGGGGTGTTCTGTGCGTGTGCCCCCTGCCCCACAATACCAGTTCTAGCAAGGCAAGCTGATGCGGAAGGTTCTGAACTGACTGACACCTGGGGGACAGATTCGTATGGGGGTTTTTGTCTGAGCAGGATTTGGCCCCGGTGATCATGGAAGCTGCCGCCTGGCACCACTCCAAGTTTTCTCTCGACAGCAAAAGCATGACCAAAAGGAACGATCCTTCCCACCCCAGAAAAACGTCCAAGATGAAATGCCACGAGTACTTTTTGTCCACAGAAAAGCAGATTGAGCATGAAGCTGCTGAGAGAGGCAGGTCTGCGGACGGAGGGTACGGGATTCACGTCTCCACAAGGAATCTGCACATGGGCAGAAGAACAGGTGGAAGAGGCCCAGCAGGGCAGCTGGCGGAGCTGCTCCCGGAGCCGGGCAGCGCAGCCCAAGGGCCTGATGGCGGCCTGGAAGGAAGCCCAGTCCACCTGCAGGTGTTCCAGAGGCAGTGCTCGGAAGAAGCCGGGGGCAGGAAGGTGAGTGCTCTTTTGTATCGGCTGGAGGAAACCAAACTCAGCATCACGACCCAAGAGGCAGGATTCCACCCATTTGACTTTCCAGAATCTGAAAGGAAAAGGGAAATGACAGAGCAGAGCTGGCCAGCGGTTCAGATAAATAACTTTGGCCGCCAGGGAAGTCTGGAAAAGGAAGCTGCAGGTGGGTGCACAGATACGACCAGCACTTTCCAGAGGACGCTGAGGAGGCAGATAACACGGTCGGACTCCGAGAGCAGCGTGGAGAACAGACAAGTAAACAAGCTGATGCTGAACTCCCCCAGTGATGGGGACGAGGCCGGCCCCCTGCGCTGGCTGGGGACTTCCAGGCAGCCAAGCGATGGAGAGATGGATAGTCCCCCTGCGCAGAACGAGCGAGGAGCTGGGGGGCAACGGTTTGGGCTTCCCGAGAGTCCAGGTGAGGCCGATTGTGCCTCTCGGCCCGCCAGCGCTCCAGATGCGCTCCATGTCGTTCCGAGCGCTGAAGAGGGGATGGTGGAAGTGGCCGAGAGAGATAAGGCGGCCAAGGGCCTCGAGATAACGGTGTCTGCTGCTCTGAGCCGTGCGCCGGCGTTTGGAGAGGCCGAAAGGAGCGACAGCCAGTCCCCCGAGAGCGGGGAAGAGCTTGGTGTCGGCAGGGAGCCCCCGTTTGATCTGCAGAGCCAGGCAAGCTGTTTTCAGAGTGCTTGCACCGAAGCGCAGCCAGAAGAGAGCTCCAGCGCCACGGCTGTCACGGTGGTGAAGCTGCTGGCCCCGGCTCACGATGGCAAAGGCGGTGGCCCATGGGAAACGGCTGGGGAAGACGTTCCGGGGGGAGCAGAGCGTACACCGCAAGAAGAAAGGACGCCGGTGAGAAAGCTAGAGGACGAAAAGGCACTAAAAGTGGCGGATGTGAAGAAGACCTTTGAGAAACGGAAGCCTGCGGCAGAGAAGGCCTCCCCACCTGCTAGAAAAGGTGAGCCAGGAAAGCCGTGACTGGCACAGGGTTACCGGAGTCTGTAGAGGAATTGCTGAGAAAGCTGGCAGGTTTTAGCACTTGCCCTGAGTTCAGAGCATGTGAGCCCAGAGCAGGTAAGACAGCACCTTTTCAATCAGCTAATTTCAAAATGCTGGGTGCCAACTCAAGAGTTACACGGAGCAATACTAAAGCACACAAAAAAGGGAATATATAGGCGTTGTTGTGTTGAAGTGTGTGGGTATGCTCCGTGGGCAAAGACCCCCAAGAAACAAACGTTTTAAAGAAATGACTAGGTTTAGTGTGAAGCAAAGCAGAAAATAAATAAGCCGCTTCTAGTATTATCCTGGTAGTAGTGGATGCTACACCTGCTCCCCTCTACAGGATCAACCTGCTCACACTGTGGATCTTCCAAAGCACTGGCACGGTGTTGAAATCGGCGTGGGCAACTCTTGCCCCATCCTTCCCCCTCCCTCTGCCCATCCTGGTTGCAGTGTTTCTAGACCCAGAGGAACGCTTCAGCCAATTTGATGTTGTTCCTGTTTACATGGAGCCAGTGATCTCTGCGCCTCCCATTGCCACAAGGTGCCACGAAAAGTTTGTCCTACTTTTCTACCTCCTTGCGTTGCTTGCAAATGAGGCATTTTTACTTGCCTCAGGTAAGGGGTGAATTCCAAAGCTTCCATCACAGCCTTTTATGCCATGGTGTGACTTTAATGTTGCAATTCTGGAAGGAGGTAGGTGAGTTGTCTGCCGTCAGCCTGGATTTTTCTTTTTAAAGCAATGGGCCACTTTTTGGTATCACAGCACTTCTTAGACGTGTAAACAGATTTGATACACTTTTAAGTAAACCAGACAATTGATCTTCACCATCATATGACGAACAGATGGGTAGGCGTGTAGATGGGATGCTACAGGTCTTTTTTGTCTGCAGGGCTGTTGTGATCATGTGTACATTTTCTGTCATGGCATGAATTAATGTCTTAACATGGGGGTGGGGAACAGTCACTCTCCAGGTGTTGCTGGAATGCCACTCCTGTAAGCCCTACCTGCCAGATGTATTGTGGGAGGGCCGCATGCTCCCCATCTCTGATTTGGGGCAAACGGAAAGCCATTTTGAGTATTTGGCACGGGACAGTTTCAGTTTACAACAACACTTGGCAATTTCTTGATCTCAAAAAATGCTCTACTGCAGCATTACATCGTGCCAGAATATTTTCAGCAGCAGAGGTGATAAAAGAGGGTAGCACAAAGAGATACACAAGTTAACAAGGATAACTGACCATTTTATCTGCTGCCCCAAGCAATGGCGAGGAGGCTGTTGGCTAGGAATCCCAGGCCTGGGTGGTTTTGAAAGGGAATTCGGGAAATTCCCAAAGGGCCAGGATTAGCTAAGGCTAATAGCCAGGACAGCCATGTTTAGAAGGCATGCTTCTGACGGCCTGATTCTGGGGTGGCCATTGCCCTCTTCTGGGTAGTCTTCCCAGCGGAAGCAGGTTGCTAGGTTACTTTGGCCTTTGACTCAGCAGATAATGACTTTGGGCAAGCTTTCTTCCAGTGTTAGGGAACATGATTTTCTGGATCTGTGTATGAATCAGTGATTACTGATAACCAAAATGATTCACTAGGACCATAAATCTTTAACAAGATGAAGCAGTTGCTGAAAGCAACAGCTATTTCATATATACATAAATGAAAGGGAAGGCTGAATTCAACCGGAGGTGGTTGAGGCCCCATCGGTGAGGGTGTTCAAGGGTAGGCTGGACAGGCATACGGTAGGCATGTCACGAGTGGAGCCAGCTGGAGGCAGGGGTCAGACTAGATGGCCCGGGAGACCCCTTCTGACTTGCTCTATGAATTTCGAGCTAGGGCTTAGCGGGGGCGATGGGGTCTTATTTATTATTCAGCTCCTCCTCCAGTCGGCTCAGGCACCCCATGCCAAGGGCTACTTGGGTCTCCTCGGGCGGTGTGCTGTCCCAGCTGGAGATGGGATGGGAAGGTATCACAGCTGTGCTCTGGTGCTCATGAGTCCCCAGACTCAGATGCTTGCACGCATCCTGTGGTCTTGCCCCCCCCCCCCCCCGCCCCCATGCCTCTTGCTCCACATTTTGTGAGGTATTCGTTTTCAGCGGTCCAGCTGGGGTCCTTTGGAGGGGGGAGGCAGAGGACACAGGATATGCTGTTCCTGGGCTTGGATCTGGGAATGTGAGGTGTCCTGTGGCCCCCAGATGACGTCCAGGGGCCATAGGATGGCGCTCTCTGCATCTTAGCGTCATTCTTCAGCCCCATTCAGATTCCTCCTTTCTGCTCACCTGCTCATTTATGCAACTTTCGTTCTGACCCCCACCCCCAAAATCCAGACAGAAATGTTTGTGTGTGTGATCTGGAGAAGGCCTTTGCCAAAGGAGAATAAATACCCATCCTATTAATGTTTTCACCTCTTTCTCCATTTGGCAGCCAGAAAGAAGCAATGAAATGTCAAGATTTTAGAACAGGCCGAACAAAGCCTGCTAGATTTGACAGACGTAAGACATAATACAGAAATGATACCCTTAATGTTAAACGTACATACATCTCAAACCCACTGACCTATCCATCATCTGAGAAAATTGTTGCTCCTGAAATATTTTATTTTATTTTATTAATACCCTTGTTTGCCCGGTGTTCCTCACTGTTTGGCCAGCCTCCCCCGAGTTAATTATCTGTTACATTATATAAGATCAACCAACCAAGAAGGACCCATCTGTTTTGGTAGCTAATTGCAGGTTCCTTTATTAGGGTCCCCATGTTTGATTCAGAACCCAGCCTTTTCAGGCTAAGTACAGAACATGGCTATAAAATGTGAAATGAATGCGGGGGAGATGCCGTTAATGTGCATTTTGACTCGATGTGCATCTTAAGACTTGCCTAGTCTCTCTGGCACGCAGTGCTGGGACCGAGAAAGAGCGCTCAGGAAGGACTGTGAAATCGGGCGCCATTTGAGGCTGTGTTACGGGGCAGCCCTGATCCTGGCAGCCCCCTGGGCACTTGCTGAAATCCCTCCGTGCCCCCGGATCCCCCGGGATGAGCTGGCTTTTGTCCACAAGCCCTTCATACTCCACTGCCCTCTGCCTTGGATCTCTCTGCCTGAGGGTTTCTCTCAAATCTCCCGTCCTCTGTCAATGCATTTCTTTTTACAAATAGTGATGTCCTTGGAAGACAGGGCCCTTTAAACAGCACAGCGCATTTAGAGCAAATGTAAATTAGTATAGGAAAATGTGTGCATTTTTGTGTCCCAGGAGCCGGAGCTTTTGATCTTTTCAGCACCTGGCGTTGCCTCCTGATGCCCTTATTGTGGATGGGTCCCTTCGGGCACTGCTGTGCGTGTGCCCAGCCTCCATAGACAGATCTCTTACTATTCCACAAAGAATCCTTTCCCCTCCATGACAATTTTACCAGCACATCTCTTAAATATTATGACCGATAAACATTCACCACTGGTGGTTTTCTGGCAGTGCCATCCCTTTTAAGAACTACATCCCAACTAGATCCAGAGATGCTCTGAAAAGCTCCCTCCAAGCTCTCCAGTGATCTTTTTGTATTTCTGTAGCTCCTCTTCCTGGTCAAAAGCTGAATGCATCAGCAGGTCAAGCCAGCAAGATTTCTTTCTATTTATTTAATGTAGGAAGGTAAGAGCTGTGCAGGATCAGACCTAAGGCCTCTCTAGGCCAGCATTATTTGCCCACAGTGGCCAGACTCCCCCAGGAGCTACAGGCAGGGCCTTTCTGAGCATTTCCCTGCAAATCCTGGTGGGGACATCTTGGGTGTCCTCGGACAGGGGCTTCCTCGCTCTCCGTGGAGTTTTCTACATCCCTTTTTAGAGCCCTCAGAATCGGTGGCCATCACTGGGTCTGGCGAAGGGGTCCCACAGTCTGGCAATGCCCACCTGCCAGCCTCATGGGATGACCCCATTTGGGCACCGGTCTCATGAAAGAGGGAGAAAAACGTCTCCTTGTCCACTTTATTCATCTGCTGCATCATCTGCTATGCCTCTGTCATGCCCCCTTTTCTAAGTGCAGGAGCCCCGGCGGTCGTCCCTTCTCAAGCTGCTGCAGCCCCTTGAAGACTTTGGCAGCCTCTTCTGTACTTTCTCCAGCTCTACAAGTGTTGAAGGTCCAACAGCCAGAAATGGGGGTTTTCTGTGGAGCATTGTCCCCAACATGGCTGCCTGACGCCGTCTTGGATGCAATCCAACGGGAAACCTCATTTCCCCTCAGCCTCTGCTGGTGTTTGGGACGTTTTCTGTTAGAACAACACTGCTGCTTCTCTGAAGTTGTATTCCTAGTATTTCCTATCAGAGTGGCTATGTTTGCACTGTGTCTGCAAGAGCAGCAGAGGCGGCCTGGGTGGGGTGGGCCTTGGGCCAGAGCCGTCCCCGCTCAGCCACGGAGCTCCCTCGGTGACTCTGGGCTCGGCAGACTCAGCTAGCCTACCTCGCAGGGCTGTTGTGAGGATGACACGGCGCTCAATAGGCAGCCTTGCGTCCTCACAGAAAGGCGGGATCTACGACGGTGTGCTAATATGCAGATAAGCGACCTCAATTTCCGGAGGATGGGAGGCGGGGAATGTAATACGTGTGTATATTTATTAATCTCTCTGCACGTAATAGAGATAGGCAGTACTTTAGACGGTCAAATAACACTGAGGTAAACGTGGGAACCAGCGGGAGCAGGTGCCGCCGGCAGAGCGCGCGCCCGCGGCTCCCTCCTTCGCGAGCGCCTCGCAGGTGTGGGCGCGAGAGCGGCCCCCGCCGGGAACGCGCCGCCGCCCCCTCCTCCACTCCGCGAGGCCTATCGGCTCGCGCGCCGCAGCCTGGCCCCGCCCCTTTCCCTTCCCCTCGGAGCGCGGGTTGGCTCCCTGCCGTCCCGCGCTGGGACGCGATTGGCTGCTCCTCTGCAGCGCGCCCTCCTCTTTCGGTCTCCTTCTCCGGCTCGCTCGCGCGCGGGGTTGGGCGGCGGAGA